CAGGAACACTGATGGCCAAGCGACTACGAGTAAGGCAAAGCGTAGTTGTTGGTTGAGGTTAACCACTGCCATCGACCTCTTGGAGGCAGCTAAACGTTGTGGTGCAGCCGCCACCATGCTGTGTCCTCTGCAAGCATGAGACTGCAGGGGCTGTTGTTTGGGACACAAATGCCCAGGGACAACTTCTGCTCTTTACAGTAATTCCAGCATCATGTACATTGAGGGGAAGACTATAGGGTCCCAGGCACAGAGGTGGGCACTGCCTCTACTGTTCTGCTGCTGGCATCTGTCTCAGCATTGCCTTTGCTCCTCCCAACCTCCTCCTTGGTGAGCTGATCCCTTGGGAGCCTCAGCTTTGGGGCGGGTTGATGGTGATCAGGTGGGTGATGGTGATCAGCAGCACTGGGAGCCTTCTGCCTTCTGCAGGCATCACCATGATGGGCTGACCCTTGCTCAGGGCCCATGCAGGGATCCGCTGGAGCCTTCCTCAAATCAGTGGAGCAAAGCGCGCTTTGGCTCCACGCAAAGTATTGGTCAGGCCCGTTATAAATAGCAGAATGACATTTAAAACACGTAATGCTGTTTGACCAGCTTTCAGAAGGAAATATTATCTAAGCCCTCCTTTGAAAGCTAGAGCCACCCACACTTAGCCTTGTTAGGTTTGGCCGATTTGGCCCGTGTAATATTGCTATCACTTCCAGAATAACATTCTGAATCCCTTATTAATTGTGCTTTTYAAGGCATGAAAAGCTTCTCTGTGTGCTTAAAAACCACCCCGCTACACACACACTTCTCATCTTGTGGTCAAGCACAAATACAGGAAAATTTTATAACTCCCTAAGCTGATATAGAAAATTAGCACAGTCATGAAAGGCGTAGGCGGCTTCAGCAGCGCACCCGAAAGGGGGAAATGCATAAACCTGCCACTCAGAAAGTGAAGGGTAGAGCCAGGGTGGCTGCTGCCAGGTCAGCTTCCCGCTCCTCCTCTCCCCGCTCCGAGCACAGAAATTGCCTCGTGTCTCCATGCGGGCCAAAGGCAGCGCCTCTCTGGCGGGCTGCTCCGGCCCTCCGGCCGAGCTGGAGCCCTGCGAGCTCCTGCTCTAGAGTGCGTGACCAGGGGATGTCTCGAATTAATATACACGCATGTATGGATGGACATATAAATATGTACATACGTGTGTGTGTGTGTTTTATATAAAATATGAAGCCAGTCATTTCTTAGCCAACCCCCTAATTTGGGCGCAGAGGCACAGGCACGGTGGAAACTGCCCACACATTTTTCCACRGCAAGTTACAAGGGGAATGGGGGTGGAAGCGGTGGCTGGGAGCGCGGGCTCCCTCAGCTGTCACGGCGAAGGGCGCGCGGCCGGGCGCAGCGCCCACTCAGCCGCCGTGGGGCAAGAGCGGCGCCCCGGCCTGCGCCCCGTGTGGGGCAAGAGCGGTGCCCCGGCCTGCGCCCCGTGTGGGGCAAGAGCGGCGCCCCGGCCTGTGCCCTGCGTGGGGCAAGAGCGGCGCCCCGGCCTGCGCCCTGTGTGGGGCAAGAGCGGCGCCCCAGCCTGCGCCCCACATGGGGCAAGAGTGGTGCCCCGGCCTGCACCCCACGTGGGGCAAGAGCAGCACCCTGGCCTGCGCCCCACCGACTGCTGGCCCACACGATGAGGCAGTGGCCTCTGCAGCCGGGGAGGCCGCTTCGCCCTCCCTCTGCGTGCTGAGGAGCTCCGTGCTGCTCTGCAGGCATCAGGCATCTTCTGTTCCTGCTCCTGGTGCTCTTGCCCTGGTGCTGTCTAAGCCTCTGCCACTGGACGGGCAGGATGACCGTAGCGTTCTGCAACCCACCTATGTCTAGCGGTGCTGAGGTGTTACCCTGATGGAAAAGCCTAGACCAGTCTGAGGACCTGGGGCTGCCCTGGACAGCCGGGGTCAGAAATGCCTCCTTGGCCTCGGTGCCTCGGTGTCATGCAACTGCACTGGCCAGGCTGAGAACCATCCCATCCTGCCCCCTCTCATCCATGGGACACGTGAGGCAGGTCTCATGGAGACACCTTCAGTACAGAGGTTGTATGGTTGATTCTTTGTTGTTTGTTGAGGGCTATGATGTCCTCTCTGCCCACCCTCAACTCAGCCGCCTGCTGCAATCAGACCCCACCACTGCAGACCCTCTTGTTGCGAGGTTGATCTTCACTTGGCACTGGGCCATGRAAGCCACCAAGCTGTCCCAAAAAAGATGGGTTGGAGGAGATCACTGCTGGAGAAGGAAAGACAAGAAAATAATTTCTGGCSTGTCCAGCTTTTGGTGTTGAATCACAGAATCACAGAATCTTCAAGGTTGGAACAGACCTCTAGAGATCATCTAGTCCAACCTTCCTGCTCAAGCAGGGACACCTAGAGCATGTGGCACAGGGTGGCATCCAGGTGGGTTTTGAAGACCTCCAGGAGACTCCACAGCCTCCCTGGGCAGCCTGTTCCAGGGATCTGTCACCCTCACAGTAAAGAAGTTCCTCTTCACATGGAGATGAAACTTCCTGTGTTTCAACTTACGCCCATTTCCTCTTGTCCTATCACTGGCCACCAATGAGAAGAGCTTGGCCCCTTCTTTCCTACGTACTCCCTTCATAAACTTATACGTGTTAATCAGGTCCCCTCTCAGCCTTCTCTTCTCCAAGCTGAACAGGCCCAACTCACTCGGTCTCTCCTCATATGAGAGATGTTCCAGTCCCTTAATCATCTTTGTTGCTCTCTGCTGGACCTTCCCTAGGTGCTCCATGTCCCTCTTATACTAGATTTCACAATACTTTGTGTTGAAATCTAGGTCTGTCAGTGGATCGAGGTTARAAAATACCTGCAACATTCAAGTGGCTTGATTTTACTGCACAGCTACTACACAGCTGTACTGGCATGAGAGCAAGGCAGCACAAAGGAGCAGGAGGCCAGAAGCAATAAGCACCTTACACTGGTTTCGCTGATGTGAAATGGGCATATGGGACTGCTGGGTGCTGTGAAGCTCCTACTTTTCAGTTTCCTTTTAGGAAGCAGGATGGCTGTTGGCATAAGAGTCACTGAGGATATCTCAGTATCAAGACTAAAAGTCTTGGTTAATTCTGCTTGTTTCCATCAAATTTTTGTTTGAGWCTTTGAATATGTCTGGTCTATGGTAACTAACAGACAGAAGATTCTAACTGCCTTTAAATAGTCATCTGTGCTTGATAAGATGGGACCACAGCTTCTTCCCTAGGTTTTATTCAGATGTGAAAAGCTGTGTGTTTAAGAGACTGAGCAAAATTTGGCAATTGCAGTGCCAATACTTTGCTAAGGCCTGTTGTGCAGGTGCAAGTGCACCTCCCAGGTGCAATTCTAGTTTTAAGAAAAGAGGTCAAGAAAAGTAAAGGGAAAAAAAAATCAGGCCAGTCCTGAATGAATCATAGTGTATTATACAATAGTGCAATTTTGTTTCAAGTCTGTTGCTTAAGATAGCAGAAGTGAGCATATGCTCTTCATCTKCACTCCAGGCCCAAGCCTGGGAAGGGCCTCATCGCTCTTGTGGAGCCTTTAGGCTCCTCCAGTGCTCCTAGCTTTGGCAATGCACGAGCTGCAAGGCTTGAAACTTTGTGCATCATTTTGTTTATTAGAATAATTTTTTTTTTCTTGGCATTATGTTATGTTTATTATTAATGGTGTAGTAACATCTCTCAACAGCACCATAATTCATTAATCCATAAAATGGAGGAGTATGTTTTATATTTCAGGAATTGTGACTGCCCTCTCATTGCCCTCCTGGAGAAACATGAGACTGTTGCTCCCTCCCACATTGCTAAGTGAAGTAAAAAGCAGGGCTTTCTACCCCATATTGCAGAAAATACCTGTCTTCCCTACTGAGTGAGTGATCCTGGCATTGCTTATGCCTTTCATCCATCTGCTGTCAATTTAACTGGCTCAGCCAGCCAGTGGCTCCTTCTTATGACCTTGCAAGAATTTGCATAAGCTGGTTTCTATAAAAGTCAAGGGGTGATCTCCACGTTTACCCTCTTGCTCAAGTAACCATGTTTTGTTATTGCCAGCTAGTGCTAGAGTATATCCACTGCTCCCCCAGCTTCCYGCCTGAGACTGCATCTGGGAAAACCTGAGGATGCAGCCAACATTTCCAGCTGCTGAAGTTACCTCAGTTGATTAGTTGCTGTTGTGTGTGTGCAGTAGCTCTTTCCCGGATCCCATCTCTCTGGAAATGTGGAGCATTTTTCCACTGTGCACAGTTCCACCTCCAGGGCACATCTGTGTCTTAGCCTGCTGAACCCCAAAACTCACATTTCTCTAGTGACATTGAGCCCGGGTGTTCTGGATGAAAAAAAACCAACTTCCACTGAGACAAGCTTTTACAGGATGGAACTGCAAGTATTTATTTACCCATGGTGTCATTTTTATCTTTCATGAAAATGCAGATATCAGCTGCTGAATTACAGGACCAAGTACATAAACTTGTACTTTATAGAAATTTGGAAGAAAAACATTTACCCAGCTTAATCTTTGCAATCAAGTTCCATCTACAGAAGCCTTTCATGTTATAAACATTCCACGTGTGACTTGCCGTTAGAATTTAATAAATACTTTACAAAAATAATGCTAGCTTTTAAAAAAATTAAGAAACTTTAACTCATCAATAGTTCCTCCCAGACAGCCTCTTTAAAATAGCTTCTTCCATAGCATACTGTACACTCAGCTTATGAAAAAAGGGGAAAAAAAAATGGTTGCACTCTTTATCCCAGGGAGCTATTTAGGAATGTACTTTAGGCTTTTTCCTGATATTTAACAAGATAAACTTTTTTCGTTTCTTGAAAGAAAGAAAGAAAAAGCTCTAAACACTCTTCATATTAACAACTGTAAAATAACTGTTTTTTTTTTTTTTTTCCTTTGGCATGGTTTCCTTTTCTGGCCTCACGTCACCTGCACGCTCAGCTTGCATGTAGTTGCCCAGCATGTCAGAGCAAACCCCTGCCCGCTGCAGCTCCTCGTCTGACAAGTCTCCAGGGAGATGCTGGTGCAGAATCACTGCAAGGCTGTTTCTGCTCCATAGGAAAAGGCAACCACAGCTCCCTCTCCCTGTAGACCTGGCCCAGACAGGGAGCAAGCACCTGAGCTTGGGATAACGGGAAGAATTCCAAGAAAGAAATGCTTTTAACCACTACCCTTCCAAAAAGCAGCTTCCTTTCTTAGGTATGACTAGTCATGAAATCAATTATAGAGAAAACTGATGCTGTAGGTGCAATAATCTCATAAACCATTCCCATATGGAAGAATACATTCTTCAGTCCTACTGTTTATAATAGCTTTTAAATATGTGCCCTCCTCAACTGGGCCCTTGGGCCTGATGCTGATGTGAGCCGCCCCCTGCACCTCACACTTACACTATAGTTGGGGAATAAAATGAAATGCACATTATTAAACAAATATTATTGCAGTATAAAGTCCTACTAGGACAAGTTTTAGATATGTCTGTATGTAAAAATAGGTGTGTGTGAAATAGAGAGATATGTGTATATAAATTACACACACTATGAAAAATATTTATGTATTATATTACAACTATATACATTCATTAGAAAGAAACTGATAACCCCTATCGAGGAGATAATGCAGCAGCCATTAGTTCTTTAGCACCCAAAAATGAATGCCTTTTTTTTTGTTTGTTTGAAGAGGAGGAAAATCTTCTCAGTATTCCCTTGCTTCTTGAAATTGCTTGTAGTAGTCTTCATCTGAAGGATTTTCTGTACACTTCTGCCCGTTGTTGGGAGGCCGAGCTTCGTTGTAGCGGCTCCAGTCCCCCTTGCATATAATCCATGGCAGAATGTCCACTTTGTAATGGAGCTCTGCTGAGAACTCGATGCTGATCAGGTTGGGCGTCCCTGCCCCTTTCCCCCTGGTGATCAGCTGCATGTTATCATCGTAGCAGCAGTGCTGTGCCGCAAGTGTTGTGCTTTCCAAAGACAGCATGGAGCGGATGCAGTATCGTGCAGTGGGCTTRTAGATCTCCAGTTTCTCCTTTGGACCACTTGCATCTTTCCAGCGAAAGTTTTTCCTCTTAACCCGATCATGGATTTCAGCAGTGCTGTAGGCAACTTCTCTGGGGTAGGCACATGGGCAGCTGGGAAGATCATTGACCACTTTGTGCATGTATTTCTTCAAGAACTCACTTTTGCAGCTCATCCACCGTTCACAGCTATCAGTATCTGTTTAAAAGCAGGAAATGGAAACTTAAGATACATTATGCAGCATCCCAGTTTGCATGCCCAGTGATAACAAATGAGTAACCTGTAACTGTTCAGCACCAGCACTTTGCTTAAGAACGAAAGGGCAGTAAAGGCTTGTCTCACTGCCTGCAATGTGCTGTTTTGTCAGATAAAGAAATCAAACATGTCTGCCTTTTAAAGGCCTCTTCACTGGCCCCCAGGCCACTCTGAATTGTGTTACAGTACCATGCCAGTAAGATGCTTTGGCATTCCTAGTACCTGGTGAATTCTAGTTAAATCTWCTGGTATCCCAATGAGACACAACAGGCAACATGATGGGTTTGCAAGCAGCAGAAATGGGCAAATCATTTTCCCTAAAGCTACTGTGGTCTGAAGGCAGCCTCCTGTTTAAATCCCTAGCTCACACAGCCTTGTTAAGACAGTAAACTCAGTGTTGAAAGGTGAAGTTCCTAGTGACACTAGAAACAAACACCAAGATGTCAAAAAGGCCTGGATTTTCTAAATTGCATTATTAAGCCTTAATACAGTCTTTCTATTAACTAATTTATAGTTTGTAGTCTCCATCTACCACAGAGGTATTTCAAGCAGCTATGGTTCAAACATGGAGATTGGTGACTTAGCCGATGGCATCTCACAAATGCCACCACAAGTGATTCAGATTCAGAAAGGGCACAGGTGACATAATGTCACTGTGCCTGTACACTGGTAGGCTTTAGTGGCACCAGAGCCATAACTCATAGGTTGGACTGGACAGATTTATAGACTAGCAGCATGTTTAATACTGACATGTTATTATGGGCAACAGTCTTGACAGAATCCAGCTAAATGTCTCTGTTTTAGGCAGCTCTGTCAGGCTATGGGCTTGTTCCACACCTGTTGAACAAGACTCTGGAATAAGGCAAAAGTTGGTCCCAAAACTTTTACTGCAGACATACTTGCGAAATATTTGCTTAGTGATTCGTGTCCTGCTTTTCTAGCTCTTGAAAAAACCATGCCCCAGCTGTCATCAACTATTGTGCTCTACTACCCAAGAATGACCATGATGGATTACATTATTTATCCAATTAGTAGTTCAGCATCTAAGAGTTGCCACACTAGGGTTTCCCTGGAGGATGAAATCAGAATATAATATCACTTGGGCAGAGTTTTAGATAGATCTGTGGAAAATCAGCATCAAGTCATGCCCTACAAAATTGCTTTGGTTAGCCTTACACACGTACGTATAAATGCTACTCATGTTCATGAAAATCATTGTATGTTTTTAATGTGACAGTTGTATCTAAAATGCTTTAATTGTATCTTCCATTCAAGGCTATTTCAGCAATATGCTAAACTGTTTGATTTTCATAGAATCATAGAATCATAGAATCATAGAATGCCGAAGGTTGGAAGGGACCTCAGAGGTCATCGAGTCCAACCCCCCTGCTCACACAGGGTCACCTAGAGCACGTGGCACAGGGCTGCATCCAAGCGGCTTTTAAAGATCTCCAAAGAAGGAGACTCCACAACCTCTCTGGGCAGCCTGTTCCAGGGCTYTGTCACCCTCACAGTGAAGAAATGCTTCCTTAAGTTCCTGTGGAACTTGCGATGCTTCAGTTTGAAGCCATTTCCTCTAGTCCTATCCCTGCCCACCACTGAAAAGAGGCCGCCCCCCTCCTCCTCACTGCCTCCCTTGAGGTATTTATACACGCTGATCAGGTCCCCCCTCAGCCTCCTCTTCTCCAGGCTGAACAGGCCCAGCTCTSTCAGCCTTTGCTCATATGGCAGATGTTCCAGGCCYCTGATCATCCTGGTAGCCCTGCGCTGGACTCTCTCCAGCAGCTCCACATCCCTCTTGTACTGGGGAGCCCAGAACTGGACGCAGTACTCCAGATGTGGCCTCACCAGGGCTGAGTAGAGGGGGGCGATCACCTCCCTCGACCTGCTGGACACGCTCTTCTTAATGCACCCCAGGATCCCATTGGCCTTCTTGGCCACCAGGGCACACTGCTGCCTCATGGTCAACTTGTCGTCCACCATGACACCCAGGTCCCTCTCTGCGGGACTGCTCTCCAGCAGGTCCACGCCTAATCTGTACTGGTGTCCAGGRTTATTCCTCCCCAAGTGCAGGACCCTGCACTTGCCCCTGTTGAACCTCATGAGGTTTCTCGCCGCCCAGTCCTCCAGTCTGTCCAGGTCCCTCTGGATGGCAGCACAGCCCTCAGGGCTATCAGCTACTCCACCCAGTTTGGTATCGTCGGCAAACTTGCTGAGGGAGCACTCCAGCCCTTCATCCAGGTCGTTAATGAATAAGTTGAACAGGACCGGACCRAGAACTGACCCCTGGGGGACACCACTAAGTACAGGCCTCCAGCTGGACTCCGCACCATTGACAACCACTCTCTGCACCCTGCCATCGAGCCAATTCCTAATCCACCTCCCTGTCCACACATCTATCCCACACCTTTGGAGCTTGCCCAGGAGGATGCTGTGAGGGACAGTGTCAAAAGCCTTGCTCAAATCCAGATAGAYSACATCYACCGCTCTGCCCTCATCTATCCAGCTAGATATTCCTTCGTAGAAGGTGATCAGGTTAGTCAAGCAGGATTTCCCCTTGGTGAATCCATGCTGGCTACTCCTGAGCACCTTCTTCTCCTCCATGTGTCTGGAGAGAGCATATTTCTCTCCATTTGTGTGCAGCCTTATAGCTCTTTTCTGCACTAGGAGAGCAAATCACTATTTTATAAAGAAAATGAGGCACAGAGGTTTACTAAGAGCTAAGAGGGGAAAAACTGTAACAGAAGAAAGCTGAGATCTACCTTACAGGCTTAAGCAAGGTAATAAAATGATCATTTTTATTAAGACTCTAATGATGAATTCAAAATCTGAGTGAAAGGCAAAGAAAAATCTAAAGAAGTATCTGCTCTCCTACTGAAAGATGGACTAGGCTGCTTACCAACTTCAAAGAGTTTAGTAGCATTGAAGTCTTCACTCCCTGCGAGTAAGCTCACTTCTGTGGCAGCTGTCCGGAAGGTGTCTTCAATCCCTAAGAAAGGCACATGTTAGCAGAGGCAGTATTTTCCTACTAAAAATATAATGCAATATATTAATTTACCCTGCTGAAATAAACGTTCTTTCATTGGTGTTTCAGTTTGGCCAACTTTCCAGCCTAAAATTTCCCAGCTTGTGCTGTAAGGCTTTAAAAGGAGCATCTCTTCAAAGAAACATTTGAACACTGTTTTGTTTTATTCCATTGAATTAAAGGCCTCTAAAGAGAAAAAAGAAACTCTTTAATATGTGATAACTATATGGTTACTAATGAAGTCTGTTTGCCTTCCATCTCCTCTCCAAAGAACTTTCTCCTGATCTCTTGAAAAGGAGCATAATAGTGGCTTACAAAGCTTCAAAACAGCCTCAGGCAGCTTTCCAATAAAATTATCATAGGGTTTTGCCTTAGCTTCAGCAGTAGTTGCAGAATAATAGATACCCCAGAAGACATTACAAGGCAGTAATTCACCGCTGGAATTATAAACAGTAGAAGCTCAGCTTCTACTGAGCTTTGCCCTTGTCATTTTAAAAATGTCAGCACAGCCTCAAAGACGGGATATATTTTGCTCGCTGATCGTTGGGGGTCTGTTGTATGACATAATCTGTTCTTTCAAGTTGCCACTGATTGATGCTAGCTGGTAATAAATACTGGGGAATATAACTGGGGGCTACAGAGTTTCTTCTTGTTTTAACCCCTTATTCAGGTTTTAAGATGTATGAGAACATACAGGAATACTTCATTCCTCAACTGCCTAGCAGTCATTTCCCTTGCGGTGGATACGTGCACCTATCTGTGACTGAGAAACTTCTGCCCATTTCCCCTGTTGAGGTACCTAAGTCTCTCTCCGGCATTGCTGACATTTCATTTCCTGCCAAAAAAAGAAGATCTGACCTTCAGCGAGAATTTCTACCTCTCTGAATGATCCCACAAGCTCAGTGAAATGCGTAGCACGGCGTGCGTTTTATTTCTCTCTGATCTTGGGAAGGAAGGGGGCTGCAAACAGCTTGGGCATTTTCGGATCTACCGCATCACTGTATTACGAACTTGCCTAAATCCAAAAACTCGGCAGCATTTAAAGAACAGCAGGAGACAAGTTTTCAATAGTAGCTTTAAATCTTTTATGATGTAGGCTCCAGTGCTCAGGCCTGCTTTGAGCAAAAAATATATGATGGTAGGGTCACCTCCATTACTGATATTTAAATGTCAATGACGTATATGGATGGGAGTTGGGGTAATAACTTCTCTCCTTCTCTTTGCTGTATTTTCTGAATGTATTCAAGAGAAAACCTTGCTTTCCTTCTTCCCACTATGCACAGATATTGAGGGACCAAACTTGCTGTTTGATAAATTTCCAAGTATCAAGCAACAGACTTTGAAAGAAAGAGTGCATTTCAAAGTTAACACCAGACTTCTTTGACTTTCTCAGACAAAGAAAACAAAATCTCTTGAGCAAAACTCAAGGCAGCTATTTAAAGTATCCTTATTTACATATTTGTATGTGCATTAAAACACACGGAGTTTAAAGCAGATCTACATATATAGGCACAAAATCCTATAGCCATATAACTGGGGAGCTTTGTTTGCAACACGCCTCATGCACATTCCCTGCTCTGCAGGCTCTGAGCTCGCTGTTTTCACAGTGTGGCTATTGCAAAATTCTAAAATTAATGTGAATTTAATCCATGAGAATGGATTACCCCCTTGGGGACACAAACGCACTGCGCGCAAAACTGACTGCCATAACTTTATAAAAAAAAGCCTATATTCAGCTCTTTAGTCCTATGGGATGGCACRCTGCGTCTAGCATCATATTACTGCTAGAGAGGGACCTGCCTTTTGAGGTTCTTCTCAAAAAAGGGAAGCCCCGGAGAGGCGTCAGGCCCCTCTGCAGCAAAACCCGGGCCTCGGCACGGAGGATCCGCGGCCTCGGCTGCGCGCGGGAGGCCTCTGCCCCGTCCCGCGAGCAAACCTGGGCAGTTGGGCCGGTCGCAGGTGCGGGACTCGGTAGCCGTGCACGCGTAGCCGCAGGACCGCGTCCGCTTCTGGCTGCCGCTCCCGCAGGTGACGCTGCAGAGCGACCACGGGCTCCAGTCTCCCTCGCCATCCATGTAATCTGTGCAAAGACAGAGATGGGGAAGGGAATGAAGGAACAAAACTCCTACTGCCCCAAACTACTGCATGGTGGTTTTTATTACGGAGGCAAAACAGGAATGAGATCCAGATGTCTGTACCTGAAGCTTGGGCCAAATGCCAGGCTTAAGCCTGCTGTTTAAATGGTTTTYGCACTTGACTCTCCTCAGGGAAATGCATGCAACATTATTTGAAAAAATATTTCCTTTCTCTTTTGACCTTTTGGCAGCTGAGAATCCTCAGCTGCRAAGCTGGGTCATGAACTAACAGTACACATCGATGCACATAATTTCCCTGTATACGGGAATTCTGGCCACAAACTAATCAGGCACAGGATAAATTAAGTCTTCTTTTTCTCCTTTTCAAAACACACAGCAATGGCACAATAGAATTCATTCAGTTAATTTGGGGGACACAAGGAACGCTGGACCGTAGGAGGCTCATGGATCATGCATGCMCACCGTAGTTTTGTTCTTCAGTCCCTGGAACAGGAAGCAGATGCTACAGGAATATATATGGTGATGAATATAGGGAACTGCATACTCCGCTTGCACCCGGAACAAAAAGCAACTGGTGGTGATTCACGTGAATTATTAATCTCATCAACCCTGATCCTCTACTTGGGGCCTTCTAAAAAGGAGACGTGACTTTAGTGGTAGGCAGCCAAGCACAGACGATGCCACTTTCTCGCTGCCGAGGCTCGACGTCACCATCACTGTATGACTGTCTTAGGGGAAGGCTCCTTTGGCAGCCGTTGCACGTGCTGCCTTGCGAAGGCCACCCCATCCCGGTGGACAGTGCCAGGTTATCTGCATTCCTGCTGGCCTCCCRCCTTTCAGCTGCCCCAGAATGGCCCTGCGAGCTTTGTCTCTCACTGTGGAAACTCCGGCTTGATGTATTTCCCTGCCAGTGATAGCAGATGCTTAGCGGACTGCATGGACACAGCGGGCAATCTTTGCTCTTTTGGGTTAAGAGGGCAGTAGCAGCAAAGYGAACCCGGGGGTTAGTGACTCGAGTCAACCCTGCACTATAGCTCAGGCTGAACATGTGCACACAGGACACAGGCTGTATCCCTGTCTGCGTGGCCCTCCATGCTGCATGTGGCCTCTTGCCCACGCTGTCTGAGGGTGTCCTAAGCAGGCTAGCAGCTCACCTAACCTGATTTGTGCCATAGGTAATGGCCTGTGACAACTCTGTGGGATGCTATTAAACATTTACTGCTGGGGTAGGGGAAGGTTATATATCCTCCTCTTCGCTAGATGTGAGATGCCCAAGGCAGAGACCTGAGGTGCTTCTCCCYCTAGGCTCAGCTCTCCGCTGTGACCAAGGTGGGACTGTGCTGAGACTCAGCAAGCGCAGGGAGATGCCTGTGAAATCCTTCAATAACTCGGTGCCTGGAAGTGGTGGAAAAGCTCTGTGTGGAGGAGACCTGCGGCTACGTCCTCCTGGCCAGCACCAGTGGCAGGCAACGAAGGCCAGGAGTATCGAGCAGTAACCAGGGTGCTCTGGTGCATGGCAGAGAGCACCAGGGTAATTTTCAGGCCTACTTACCTAGTGTTTACATTCTGCCATAAAACACACAATATCTCCTCTTAAAACATGCAGGGTTAGATGTCCAGCTGGCTCTCCAGCTGTTCTCCCTATTTTTATATTTGTAATTTTCATATATTTTCTACCACTTTTTTTTTTTTTTTTGTGAAATATATTTTATTTTACCTAAATAAATAACTACCTATTATGTGAATTCTTGGCAATAAAGCATGCCCACAAATAAATGCAGGTGCAAAAAGAAGGGATAGACTTCAATCTTCTGGCCACAAAATTTAATACATATGTATGCATTCAAATACACAGTTCAATGAAAAGATTCTGTGAAATGGCTCTAGGACTTAAAAGTTAACCGAAACAGGGAAAAGTAAGACCGAAACCGTACACGACAGCCACTCTGCGGTATCGAGGTAATGTAATACAAATGCCAGGGGAAAAATATTGTGGCTTTGAAACCCTGCTCTAACGAAAAATTTCTGTATTTACTTACAGCTTAAGGCTGAGAAGTTGAGAGCTACCTGTGATCCCTGTGGTGCACACACTAATTCACCTCCCTTAAGCCATTCCTGTGTGGATAGTTGCAGCCCACTGGAATAAATGTATAAAGGCAATAAATGTATATATAGATGTAGCTCCTTTCTGTTTCTAGTTTCTGCAGCTATGTCATACAACAAGCTGAAAACAATTGTTTTCGCCATGACCCATCTGGAACAGAATTACACACGCAAATACAAAATGTTCCTGTTGCATATGCCACTCCCCACACATAATTCAACTTATTTGTGTAGCCATCAAATACTACCATGTTTTAGATCTTGCTTATTTATCCAATAATTTTATTTTAGTTCCCAAACCATGGCATGATTCTAAATTTGTACTTATCCTTACTCTAAAAATAAAAATGGAACCTTGTTTCTTGCTCTTTTTTTTTTTTTCTTTTTTTAAAAGTACACTTACGACTAAAAAAAAAGTTCTCTTATGGGATAACTGGTATGATTTCAAAGATTATAGACTTGCTAGTGGAATGTAGCTACCACAGTACAGCTTGTGCATCTGCACAGTTTTGTATTTAAAAGCTGATGAACAAAAGCCACATGTTTAAAAACTCTGTTTTGTTTGGCCTGCTTCCAGCGATGCCTCACCACTCTCATTTCCCCCAAATTCGTTTTACAATCCCAAGATGCCCATAAGAGGCCAGGAACGCAAACTTACCATACTCTGGCTGCTCCTTGGACTCGAACGTCCGGTGACTGGGTGCATGACTATCCCACCCACCGAGAGGACTGAGGAAGTTGCTGTCTTCAGAAGTGCCATCATACTTGTAGTCCTGGTCCCCACTGCTCATGCGTGTCAAGGTGGAGGACCTCTGCCACCAGTTTCTCCAGTCAGGTGATGGGACTGGCCAGTTGGGCTTGCTGCTCTCTTTCTGCAGATCCTTTTCTGGTTCCGTGTCGGGGCCATCAACCACTTCAATGGTAACCTGTGGGATTCAAAATAGACCAGGTTGTCCTTCAGGATCTGCTCCTAGTCAGCGGGAAACTTTCTATGCAGCAAAGACAAATGACTTGCAAAAGGGCTGTGTAATACTGTAGGGTTAGCATGCTGTAGACCATATGTGGATTACTGAGCCCAGAGATATGCAGAGACTGAGTGATTCCTTCTGCTACCTCTGCTGAATCAGACCTTGGAACAAAGGGTAGGAAAAATCCTGCACAAAATAATAACTCATGCTGTGTATAAAAATCTTTGCAGCGGGATCTTSTGCCTTATAGGGAAAAGATGTTTAATCTCAAACATACATGACCAGGAAAAAGAACACCAAATCTGTTACTTGAAATACACTGGGACTGAATTTGAGGCAAGTGTGAAGCACAGCAGAGGGCAGAGCCTCTTCCAAACACTTGGGCTCACTCAACATGGGGCTACATAAGCCCATGAGTGTATGGGGAAAGACACAGAGGCCAAGGTCTCCACATGGCCAACTTGGGTTGCATCTGCCTTGCCCTCTAGTGGCAGCTCAGCCATCCCAGCATGGCTCACCCTGCAGCACTGTTCTGTCATGATACCACCATGGGTTATTCCTGCTACGTGCAAACACACTATCTGTGGTGATAAGAGACAGTAGGCCCTTTTAACCAGTGCTCAGTAAGTCACTTGCTKCTAAACTTTCTGAATTGTCTTCTTTCTGTGCCGTGGGGTGCAACAACCACACAGAGTGCAACAACCACACACAGAACCACAGAATGGTTAAGGTTGGAAGGGACCTCTAGAGATCATCTAGTCCAACCTTCCTGCTCAAGCAGGCACACCTAGAGCACAATCAGGTTGCATTTCTGCAGAAGCCCAGAGCTGGGATTCAAAGCTTTCTGTCCAGTTCACTTGCAATCGTGAATATATTTCTGCACAAGGACAACACTTGATTGCTCTCTTTCTGTGCAAAATAACAAGCAATTAYGAAACTCTTAGATAAATATTGTGCATTTCTATAGATGGCTATTTATGTAGAAATAGGAACTAGCCATCAGAAGCCTTGGCTCCATGAGTCATGGAAGCTTCGTGTCACCACAGATGCACTGTGGCTCAGAGCAGTCAAAACGCTCTGAAGCTCTGGGCTACTGAAGTTTACTGATTAGGCTGGATTGGTTAAGCAACCATAATACTGAAGCCACCATCAGACATATCTGTGTTTAATAAGTAGGGAGGTTTTCCTTGATGCTTCATAGATTTGCAATGCCATCTGGCAAGACATCACTGAAAACAGGGTGTGTAAAAGCAGGAAATATAAAACAACCTACAATTATACTAAAATGCCTTTACAAAGGTACATATATCTGTATTTTGGATAGAAGATTTAGCTTTATGCAACTGCCATTAGTAAAATCAGAGCACACACTTTTTCTCTGTAGTAAAAAGTGCTAATTAGTTTTTTCAGCTATCCATGAGTGCTACATAAGAAGAGAAACAGTTGCTGCAATAGCTTAATGATGCCACACCACAGCGATGCCACTGTCCTAACACCAGGCACAAACAGCAGAAATGTAAAGCAATGCACATGCATCCTTTTTAGAGAAYAGAGATTTTACATCTATTTTGTRCTTTGTCTTTGATCACAGACATGGTCATTGAAATGAAATGACTTTTAGGCCATTAGGAAACTCCACTGGGAGAAAGATTAAGAGAGAGAGTACAGCTGTCAGCCTAATAAAGTCTTTGCACATGAAATATTCTACTCCCAGACTAAATGTGTAGTCAGGCTCATTATTTTATTAAATGTCAGTTTCTACAGACCACAAATTAAAACGGATTTCATAAGTTTGAAAGCATTAGAGGCAGTTCAGGGATTCCAGATCACCCCATTGATCCAAGCAAAACAGAGTTTTCACAATAAGAAAGAGCAAATAATATTACTGAGTGGCCAACACAGTGCACTGCTGGCCAGTTGCAGCGCTCTGGCACTGCCCACGCAAAAAATAGAGTATGACTCTAGTACTTACTCTAGTAGTATTTTTAAGACCATATGAACTTTGTAAGCAGTGAGTCAGCAAAGCGAAATTAAATAAAAAATCTCTTGGAAAAAGAAGGCGAGGAGCACTTAATCATCAATCCATTTTTTTTGGCGTTCTGTAGCTGCATGATAGTGAGTCAGGATGACCACCCATTATCCTAGCCACGCAAGTTCGGAGAGCCATGGAGATTTAATTTAGCAGACCTCTTCAGGATGCCAAGTCAGTTGAAGCAGAAGAGGGTTTGCAGGGTGAGAGAAACTGTGATGAGGCCAACTGCTACACTGGGGAAACAGAGAGAAGAAACACACACAAGCTTTCAGGCTCAAAAGGCTTAGAGCCTTGGGCCTCCAAGAGCATTTCCACTAACTGACTTTCAAGACATGTCTGTGCAATCAGATATCACACTTCTGTCTACGTTTACCATCGAACAGGCTTAGTATGAGGGCCTTTAAAACAGAGTTTCTAGCTTCTAGGCTGGACCTAACCTGCCAGTGAGTTTCAGGCAGTATGAAAGCTAGGCCAGCAAAGGCAGGACTGGGAAAGCTGCTCCAAGGTGTAGCTTTGGTGCATGGATTTATCTTGTGGTAGTCAAGGGGTAAGGAACTTMTCCTTCCTGCATGCAACAAAAAGTTCTACTTTACCTAGAGCTTACAGCTTTCATTTTGGTCTGACACACGTCCTTCCTCTGCTTTAAGCTTGATTGCAATTTTGTTTGCTTAACATTTGGCATTAAAACATGAATAATAATAATAAAAAAATCCATGAATCTGAGGCCTGCCTGAATTGCCACTTGCACCATGGCATTGAAGACTTTGACTTAGGAATTCCTAGCTSTAGATCTGCCCAACCCCATTTATCTATAATGCATCTTCCTTAGGCAGGGAGGAGATGAGTGACTAACCCTAGAAGTCCTTCCCTGATATGACCCAAGAGCTAAGACAGAAGTCCTGAAAGGGGCTTCTTTGGACAAGCAATTGCTTCCCCATCTTCCTTGTCATGCTTTTGAAAAATGGGCTTACACTGAATTCTTCAGAGCACACACAGGTAGCCTTAACATTAGCCCAGGRCTACATGGTTTGGGATTGTTCATAACAACAACAAAAAGAAACAGATCTAGAGCTAAATTTGTTTAAAAGGGGCATTTACTGGAAAGGTTTCCTATGCCATATAACAAAACATGTTCCATATAACCTCTCAAAAATTATAAAATAGACCTAGCCTTGTATTGTTATTATGGAGACTGTTTTAAAGGTTTCATTTTCACTGATTGCTTCTTGCAGTGACTACCAGAACTRTAAACTGTTTATTTTTTGTCATGTTTCCCAAAGTGCCTGTGGTAGCATACTTTTTCTACAAATGCACAATCATCTCCAGAAGTCTTCAAACCTAAAATGAAGCCACTTCTTTTATGGCAACCTGAGATATAAATAACTCCAAGAACTGTTAAAAATAATTGGCATAGGTACATTAAAACAACAGATTTGCAGTGAATTTCTAATGTAACAAATGTATCAAGTACAGATGTCTTAAGCAACCAACGTACAGTTTTCTCCTGACCAAAAATATACTGAAGATAAATATTGTGCTCGCTTGTTGGAGTGTACAAAAAGTTCTGTGTWCTTTGTCCTGCTTACTGAGACAATGTTTCTGAATTCCCTTTAATGGTGTAAACATTGCCCTAAGCAACTGGAAGATTATGTTGCAGGAAGATCTACATTTGTGATAGTGTGCAAGCAGCAGATTTCACTAAATTTTTATCCTGTTTCCTTCATGTAACTGATGCAATTCTTTAGTGCAGAACTTGCTGTTCTGTAACGGTAGAACTGTGCAAGTCAGCAATAAGGTAACTGTAACAGCAGAACAGAAATCAGAACAGAAATCGTTGTATAGTATGGAAATCACATACTTYGTTTCACATCACATTACTGCAATTAAAATGAGCGATACCAATTTATTTCTGGTTATGTCATAACAGCTCACAAGGACTTTGTGGGCTCAAAAAACTGTTAAAGCTTATGCAGGGTTGAAAACAAGGTGAAGGATCCTTCAAAGGGTTCTGGGTGAGGGGAGAGAAATCTGAATCCAAACCTGAAATCTGTGTTAGAGGCTGCCAATCTGGGCAGTGCTCTCTCATGGGTCTTACTGAACCCCAAGCTTCAAAATATGACCCCAAATCCAGATTTGAATTTTGCACACTATGGCTATCTCCCATTAATATTAAGAAATGAAACCAGGAGGGTGTTGCTCTTCAACACAATGAAACCAGCAGATTCTTGTAATGCTATAGATGACCTCTAAGACACAAATCCAATGAAGTAAGTTAAATGCTTCATGCTGCATGGATGGAGATGGGCAGAATAGGCATGGATCAACCTGAGATGGAGTTGATTTAGAAAGCTCTTGGTAATTTTTCTTAAAAGCAGATGATATAGCCTGGTTACCAGGTTGTTCTGCATGTTTCCTGGGTGGTGGTTTTCCAGAGCTTGCCACGCTGCTATACAGTGTATAGGGAGAGCACTGCTGGGGAAGCAGCAAAGCACTGGGACAATACAGAACAGGACTATGCCTTCTTCAAGCCTGGAAAGCCACAAGGCAATGGGGAGAAAATACAGTTATCAGTTTCTATAATCACCTTTAAGGCATGCAACAATAGTTGACATGGCAAAAACAAAACAAAACAAAACAAAACAAAACAAAATAAAATAAAATAAAATAAAAACCTTCCAGAGAAGGCAAACAGCCGGTCTTTGCTCATCAAGAGTCGCTGCAGCTACTGTCAAACAGCCAAAACTAAACCAGTGCTAACCTGAAAGAACACGATATTCTACAAGGCTAGAATAGCACATGAAGACTAGCGTCATCCCTGTCTCACATGTGATGTGTATGTGAGACATTTGTTTATGGGAGCTCTGATTGCTGTTTCTGAGTTTTTTAGAAGACAATCCATTGTATTGGCATTTAATTATCACATGATAAATGCAGTAGAGGCTTTGGGGCATGTGCTAGTTTTCCTGAATTCTTGATATTATGTTCTGATGTCCACCACTTCTTCCCTGAAAGAGCACATAACCAGAGTATCGRAGAGCAATTACCTCATCACAGAAGAACAGTGTAGGAAGGATCATAAAGAGGCCTCACTGGACTATCTTCTTGCGCTGATTTCTTAAGCTTAGTTTTATGCCTGTTTACTAGATTTTAGAGATATCCAGGCATAATTTTCCTTATTCCAAAATTTTTATTGGTCTATGCATGTTTGTACTAGTAGGATTAAAAAGAAGCTATGGGTCTATGAGAGATAATTGTGGCCTTTTTGCCGTGTACAAAATATATAGGCCTTCATYCCCTTTCCAACCATATACCTAATGGCTTTCTAGGTGGCTGTCCTCTACACAGATGATATCTTTTTTCCAACAAGAAGCTATCCAAATTACCCCTTGAGTGCACACAGCACCTACAGAGCTGGTGGTAAAGCTGTCTGGGATGGGAAATGACACGCCAAGGGCAGATGCYAACAGAAAATGTGTTTGTATCCTCTTGCTTATTCAGCCCATTCAAAATGTTATATTTTACAATGCACGTAATTGGTTAAAACTCCACAGATTTGGTGTATATGACTATGAAGTCATATCCTGAGATTTGGATTTTTAACTAACTCCCTCAGGATTGCAACTTGTAGAACCCAAAGCCRTGTCCAGAAGGAAGAATGAGCAGATTCTGCTTTCACCTGCCAAACTGCTGATGAGATATTTGGAAGTAAACAAGTGTCATTATTTCCATTCAAATAAATAAGGCACTGCTTAATGACAACACTGTAATCCTGTTTTTCCCAAAAGCACAGACCACCTTTTACAACCCTTAACAAAGAAATAAACTCTCACTAATTCTTGGTAAGGCCTGAGCTACTACAGAAATGTCAAAACCAGGAGCCTAAAGAAGGTCTGTATTTATGCACCTAAGYGGCCTAAATATAGACTAATATACTAATAAAGTGGMCTTTTATTTCTGAAAGGGCTGATCCTTGCACACAAGAGCTCTATGTRTCCAATGTTTTCCAGTTTGCAGATCTGGGTTCCCAGTTCTTGGAGTCCAGCAAAGCCCCTGACATAGCTGGCTCACACATTTCCACCATCAGGTGGTGGAAGAAGAGGTCATAGCCGCAGCAGTTGCTGCAAAGGCAAGTCAAGGGAATGTTTCCATCCTCCACTCTTTTATCTATTCCTAGGTCTAAACATTACATGCTCTTACCAAACAGAGAAGGCTTTTGCTTCCTCCTGTCCTCCTCTGTGGTTTACATAGTGCACAAACAAGGATATTAGGCTATTTACCTTACAYCACAGTTTGTGGCCCCTGCAGCTTCCCTATCTTCCCTTCCCAACGCGTTCTGGAAGGCTTCTCCTAGCGTGAGGGACGCGTACAGTGACCACATGTTGGACATGTTTACTACCTCGGCCCAACAAGCATTGGGCCAGCACTTGATCCAGATCTGTTAGACTTTCGGATGCTGCAAGCCATCTATGAAGTAATGAAGTCAACTCCGAGACAGCCTGTTCTTTCCTGATAATGTTGCTCTGTCACAAATACATCTTTTATATCTTATGTATGTATGTATGTACTTCTTGGATGTATCAAAAAAGATGGTATTTTGTGGGTTGGGGGGTCTAAGACAAGCCAGGAATTTAATTAACCAGAAAACTACTTCTATTAGTGCATTGTTTTCCTAAGCACATCTTAGGCAGAACAACATTTCAATTTATTGTTTTGGTTAAAAAAGACTGCTGATTAATGCCAATTYTGCTTTAAGGCTCTGAATTAAAAACAAATCACTCATTTTTTTCCTCCTTTCTAATCCTTGAAGTTTTAAGATATAAATGGCTTGTATGAGGCCATTCCAAACCGAAGAACAGTTTGACGAATAACATATAACAAAGTTTCTTACAGATGACTTATTTTTTTTAAACTCCAGGCATCTGCTGCAGAATTAACATTTAAGTCTTAGTTCCATACAGAGGACCACAKTTTGAGCTGGAACTTAAAGACATATTACAATCTTTGGGAATGGTTGCAATTTAAACTAGCACAGTAGAAGAGAATCTGTTCACAAACAAATTTTACAACAGAGAATTGGAAATAATTCTCATCTAAAGTAAAAGAAAACAATACATTCTAAAATGGCCAAAGCAAAAAATGGTTTTTCTATCATTATGCAGTCTATATCCATACCTAAACCTAGGCAAGCAATAAAATTGAAAGAGCAATTCCAGGAAAAAAAAAAGTAAGTACATTCCCTTAGACAAAAAGCATATACATTCTCTCCTGACGTTACTGATAGAAAGTGCCCAACGACAGTGCTGCAGGGAAGCCAGACTGAAAGTTCACTTGGTTCTGTAAAATAATTTGTCTAACCCATCAAATATCAGAAGATAACTTAAATTTGAACATATACCTGAATGTTGGGATTCTGCCCATTGATATCTGCTTTTGACAAGTCAGGGAAGTTTGGGAGATCCAAGAGGAAAGATCTGGGTCCATCTCTTTGCAATGACGTATGCCCACTTTCCTGCCTGAACCTCTGTTTAGGGAATGGCCGGTGGGCAGCCTGGAGGTCAGGGTATTCTCTTCTGTCCTCGGGGTTCAGGGTAAAGCTGGCTTCAGGAGAACGGTCTTCTGCTGTGAGTGTGTTCTGGGAAAAAAAGCAATGCGCTTAACAACAACTGAGACAGCGTGCAGCCCTGCCAATACCCCCACTTCCAGCTTCCTGCTGAAAACAACTCAGCAAAGACGTCAAAACAAGGGTGCTCTGGGGAACCCACCTGCTATGCAAGGCACACACACACCAGCCCTTATGGCACACAGACCCACAGCTAGGTACTCAAGCATTCAGGATTTCTGGCTGGAATTTTCTTGGGTACCCAAGAGTTTGGCACCTGATTCCCGCTGAAACCGTTTCATTTACAGTACTGCAAACTTGCCATCCTTTGACACAAGATTACATTGAATCAGATCAAATGCTTAGTTCTTTCAGCTTTCAGTAAGATTTCAGCCTCCCCGTGAACATCTAAGCATTGATGTAAATATCCAAGCTAAAACAAATCTGGACACATGACARTGAGAAGCAATCCCTGGAAAATCAAATCTTATTAAATCCAGCATGTCACTAAAATGTTGAAATGTGGAACAAACATACAGACTAAGTTCATGCTCAAATTTATGTTAGGAAACGCTCATACTGCTGAACTGGCCACCTCCCTCCCGCCCTCCTCTGTCTGCAGCATCTTCCCTCTAGTTGTGCAGTCTTCCTCACCCCACTTCTTTGGCCTTGAACATCTGAACCCTCCTTCCTYTGGGATCTCATTTTCATGTTTGCCTAATGGTGGGATTGAATTTCACCGAGCTGTGGGTCGGTGGTTAATGCTTCTGTTTTTGTTTGAGTATGCTTTTAGGTTTTGTAGCATCTATTACAGCCGCCTGCCCTCCAACCAGTAGCACTGCTGCCACTGCCTTTGACCTCACCCCCGAGACACATTTGGTATCAAAACACTCCCTCTCTGGGTTACTGGCCTGAGGAACTCAAGGGAAAAAAAAAACAGCAGGCAAGTCAAATCTCATGGCTTCAAAAAAATGCGTGGGGCAGACCCAGCACAGGTTTTGTCTTTGACTCAGCTGAATTATTTTTGCGTTTGCTTCTTAGCCTGGGGAGTTTTTACTGTCAGTTCATAAAGAGACAGCAAGCATGGATAGGGTAAATGTTAGAGCCCCATCTTTTTAAACAAGCACAATTAAAGTGGAATGGCCACATGTGGTTCTGGCTCTACTGAAGCACATTTTTGCCAGCATTTCTGGTTAAACACAATCTCCATGCAGCTCCCCTGGCTCAAATTAAGCTAGCATACCTTTTGTGGAGATTTCAGATAAATAACAGCTCCATTGCCTTTTCCTTTATTTTGTGTTTATTTGCTTAAAAGTTTCTTAATTGACTTTTGAAGAGATTTTATAATATAATCTCTGCACATTACAGCAAAATGCTTGGTGAGTTAAATAGATCAAGGTTTAAGAGTAAATCTAGGGCTAAGTGCCATCTTCTCCAATAAAAACTAAGATGGTTCTCCTCTCTCCTCATTGCACTGCCTTTGCAAAGAACAGAAACAGATTTAGTTGAATTATATTTCTTTTTGATATTTTTGTGATCAGAATGGTTACACTTGTGAAGTGTCAAAAGGCTATTACACTTCTACCTACAGCACAGACATAAGAAGTTCCATCTGAATTACCCTGTGTGCGTGCAGTGGTAAAAAATACCAAAAACAAAACATATCTGTTCCTCAGAGATTTGATTGTCTGAAGGCTAAAACAGGAATACTTTGCTGACAACCAGATAGGACTTTCAGATGCCTTTGGAGGGCCATCCRTTAACACACACCTTGCTTAATAAAAAGTAGAAAGCAAATCACATGGCAGCAGGCTTCTAGGAAATGAAATTGAGGACCACAAACTTTAGGTTCCTTACCCATATACTAGTGCTTTAAGCTAACACTTATAAAACTGAACTTCACTTCAAACTTCGCACAAGGGTTAAGCAGCTTCTTGGTTATTTCTGACTAACAACGAGAAGTAGTTGTGCTGTTATTAAATTACTTCAGACAGGAACCAGAGAAAAAGGTAGTACTTAGCTACGTATTTCTTTTCAGGAGTATCAAGCTCATAATCTCGCCTTTATTAAAAATAAAGTGAGCTTTTATTAAAAAAAATAAAATTCTCACATATGATTTCATACTTTCCCTGTTTGCTCGCCTCTTCAGCAGCATCTTGATTCTCCCCATTAACAAACTACACAGCCAGAGTGCAGGCCAAGGACTTGAGAGCCCTGTATTTAATCCTCTGGTCAGACTCACTGTGTGACCTGGCAGATCACAGTCTGCCTGTGTCGCTGTGGGGATAACAGCCCTTCTCCTTTGCTCTCTGATGCTTGTAGAGAGGTCGGCAACTACAATATAGGGCTATATAAAAATGTTAACAGTGTCAGGCAGATGGAATATCACATGGAGCTAGTTAGAAAATTGCCATGGCGAGGTAATGACATCAGGCTCATCAGGCCCACTACCAAGCTGCTCGGGGCAGGACTGTCGTTAACTACAGACTCAACGAGTTGGGGTTGTTTAACGTGAAAAATAAAAAAAAAGCGAGGGGGCACATGGTAACTGTCCGAGAGCAAAGGCTGCCGCAAGGACGAAAGGGATGGTCTGCTCTGCATGCTCAAAGTGGACTGGACTGGACTGGAAGACTCCAGTGTCCTGTGAGGAACACATCTCTAATGGTGACAGTGAAGCATGATACCAGGTTTTAGGGGAGGAATGTCAAGTCTATCTTGACCTGACAGGGGTAACCTCTTCCAGAAATGAGGCAGGTTATATAGTCTCTTCTCTAGCGTTCTCTCTTGCTGCCCCTTTCACCCTAGGACGAGGCCACACCAAACCTTCCTGGGCCTTGGGGTCATACTACAACATAAGCAAACGGAGACTCCCAGTATATCTATTTCAGTTGTCTGCTCATAGAACAGAGAGTGAATGAACACTTTTTGATGTGGAATAAATTAACAAAACCCCTAATTTTTAGGTAGATAATTCTTCATGTAATATCTAAGCTGATGTGCAGCATTATTGGAAATGTGTGTCTACGGTAAACACGACAACAGAGGCTGCCATCAATAAAAAGAGGGCTTGAGCTGAATGTGAAGAGAAGAATATGGACTTCTCTGTGAGTTCCTGCATTAACTCAGGTAAAGGATCTTCCAAGGCTAATCCAGACAGGAAAAGTGTGTTCTACCTGTTACGTTTGCCTCATTTCTGAAGAAAACAGGACTTGTGTTCCAAAGCTAACAGACAAAAACTTTGCTAGGGAATAGCAAACCTTGTTACTTAACTTAAACATGTATTTCACACTATATATTTTTTCAGTGTACACAATTTGTATTGCTTTAGGGAAACCAGGGTTGCTTGACTACTTTKAAAAGAAATCTCAYTTCATTCTGAACTATTGGCTCAGTGTATTTGAATTATGAAATGTCTAAATCAGACACACTGGCTTCTTGCTCAAATGATGCATCTGCTCTGAATGATTTAATGTAAACCATTTTTCCCGTTCATTTAACAGGGCTATTCATAACTTATAAACTTCCCATCAAGATGATTTTTAAGGGGTTACTCATGGCGGGCTTATGGGGTTGCTGTCATCTACAGTTCTGCTGTCCTCCATGGGATCGGATATTTATAGGAGTTCCTAATATGAAAACAGCTTACGATTTCTGAATATTCTAAGTGTGAACAGTATATAAGGGTAGGAACACATTACTCACAGCTGTGAGACAAGGCAATGAAATAAACCCTATAGTGAGAAACCGTCATATTTAGACATTTGTTTGTATTACAGAACAACATACCTTGCCACGTTCATCACTGAAAAAGTCAGAGTAATAACACTCCATTTCTGTCCACCATTAATAATTTCTGGTTTAGGTTCTGTGAGAAGGAGGCAAAGGAGGAGCACAGTAAAATATATTTCAGAAAGGATAACGTGGTGCTGAAATGTACCATTTCCTTCATGGCACAAACTATACAGGGTGGATCGCTGGGCTACACAAGAGCAAGAAAGGACCCAGAGCATCAGTCTCCTGGCTCTGACACTGACTGCTGTGTCACTCGACTAAGTTATTCGGATCCCATTTAAAATCCCACATATCAATGTCTTTGTGTACCATCTATAAAACACAGAGGAAGAATAATTCACAGGGATTTGCAAGGGTAAGTTTAAATGTTGGTAAGCCAAGTGAGCCCTGCATCACAGTAGAGGTTAGGACACTAAGAAACAACACTAAATGCAAGAAAAATTCACTACTAGCTACTGGGGTTTAACTTTTCAATGATCTCCCCATGGCTGCATTTTGTTTCTTTCCCTACCAGAAGACATGAGCTGCAAGGAAGTGCACTGTTTATCTTTCTCCCAGAGAAGTTAAACAAAAATGGGAACTTACAGAAATACCAGATCAGGGAGTAAGGGAAGTCCTCTGCATTTTTAGCAGGTGAGGAACCAATCTTTCTCTTCACAGCCTTACTTCAATCCCATTTCCAGTTTTGGAAAAACAATCAAGACAGAGAAGGAGCAAGGAAAGACTGGATCTAAGGAAAATATTTTGGAAGAGCTGCTCTTTCTCTGTCCTTCATAYTTCTTTACCCACCTCCCTTCATTCCTTCCCCACTTGCCCAACTAAAGGCACTTTTGCAAGCACTGCTAGTTGTGGGGTTGAAAGAATTTGGGAACAATGATGCAACATATATCCCTAACAGCTCCCAGACAGCAAGGGAATCTATTACCAAATCCCTGCTAGAGGTACATTGCTATTTTCTTTCTTGTATACTCCTTTGAAATATCTTGTAAAATGATCTTGACAAGAGGTCTTGAATTGAAACCCAACAGTCTGTCAATGCACTTTCATGATGCACCTGTACAGCATCTTCAACCACCAGGAACATTTACTTATTAGGAAACTTCACAGACGCTATAAAAGATTATATTGCTATCAGAGACAAAATGAGGCCTGGGGCCTTCACAGAAAATCATTATAGTCATTAGGACTGGTTTCATTTCCCACCTGCCTAAACAGATTGTTTTGATTTTGAAGGTTGTCATGTGTTTCCAGGTTAGTGCTAAATGATCACTTGAAAATTAGCCCGCCTGGGGAGGCTGAGCAACACACCAGGACAC